TTTTTTTTTTTTGCTTTGTACGGTTTTATGAATTTTGTGGATTCTCATTTCGTCTTCAGTCTTTTTCAAAATTGATGTGGAAAGCAGGGCAATTTTTTTGCTGCGAAGACTCCTGTGAACTCCTGAGACCAATTTTGTGTGTGTGCAGTGTATCTTCTCTCCCCGTGATTAGATATTTATTTTCGTTATTGATTGGAAAGAGTGATCAACTTGCATAAAATGGGTCTAATTTTGAAGTTTTCTTCCTGTTTTTGTATGATTTTATCTTTTCACTGTGTGGTTTGCAAATTTGTTGAACTTGGTATGTATGACGGGCTAACTGTTATCAGTTTTAGTTGTTTGGCAACAGAAATGAAATAGGAATAAAATAGCTGAGATTCTTGATTTTGTATGATTCTGCACTTTTTTCCCCTTATGGAAATTTGCTATTCTTGAATTGATGTTGGAAAAGGGATCCATTACGAGACCACAGTTGAGTGTCGAATAGATAAATAATCAAGCTTTATTTTGTTTTCCTACCGTTTCGCTCTTCATTTTGACTCGATATTGTTACTCTCCTTGTGCTTGATATGTAAAACAGGCTTCTGCTACTGGAATTCCAAATAATACTAAACTTTAGTTTAAGGGCCAACAAAATGATGTGATAAAAAAAATGTTAGTCATCTTGAAGTTATGTGATTTTTTTTGATCATGTGATAAATATTATCTCACCTCTTTCTTTATGAAATTTGTTGCCAAAAATAGGCTCATTGACAAAATCCCAGCTGCCCAAGTACACACAGGACATACAAAGTCCGGAACTCCGGCCCGAGTACCACACCATCTCATGTGAACTACGGGCTCTTGCAAAAATGGTGCACCAAGAACTCGGGGACCCCAATGACACCACAGTGGCCAATGTTGGTAGTGTTCCCATGTGGCCCCAAAGGAGCCCTTTGTTCAAAAGAGGCCGATTCTATGATGAGTACTCAGCAAGGAGGAACGAGAGGCTAAAGATAAAGAAAGGTGAAATGGAGTATGGGAAAAAACCGTGTTACGACCTTGGTGTTAGGGTTGAGTCCGCTAAAAAAAGGGAGTTGGGAAAGTTTGACAGTCGTAGGAAGGCAGTGGCAGCTGCAGCCACGCCATTGGCAGAAAGGATGGAGGCCCGTACTCCGAGGTACTCGTTGAGGAGCAGTACGAACAAGGTGATGAACAAGAAGCCGCCGCAGCCTTTGCCGGTGCGAATGTCTGTGGGGGTTTCTGAGAGGAAAGTAGGAGTTAGGAGGACCAGAAAAGCCTGATTTCTCTCCGTATTTTTAAGTTGCTTTTTTTTCTTCGTGTTTTATTGTTTGGAGAAAGAAAACCGGTAGTTGTTGATTTGTGGTTAATGGTGGGGATTCTTGCTGATAGATAATGGAACAAGGACAGACCTAAGTATGGTGGTGGTTCTTTTCAAGTGTTTGCTTTGTTGATGATTGTGGATTGTTATGGCGGCTATATTGCTAATATAGTGCATTCTATTTTTCAGCTATGTTGCAGTTGTTTTTATGTCATTGATTTCGTTTATTTTAATGTACATACACTATCTATATTTTCTGTCTTCATCTCTCTCGACATTTCAACAAGAAAAAGGCAAAAATAATGCACTCTAGTGGATGCTCTTTGAGGAAATGCTTGTGTAAATTGTTGATTGTTGAAAAAATTCTCTCACGGGAGAGCCGTATTTTCTCACCGGAGAATTTCTTCCGGTCGATTAGAGGGTTTCTCTTCCCGTCATAGGAGGGGCCTTTTTTCTTTCTTTATGTGATTCCTTCTCTTTGTGTTGTTTCGTTCTTTCTCGATAGCAAGTGGTTGCTAGGGTTTCCAATTTTGGGGCTTCCCTCTTTTGCTGCTTTAATCTTATCATGAGCTCACTAGAGGAAGTGTCAAGCCGGTTAAAAGCTTTCTCTCTCTCAGACAAGAAAACCTTGATCATAGACCAGGGTAAGGAGGACGTGAAATCAAGCGAGTGTAGAGTGTGACAAGAGACTCTGGCAAAATCATCGGGGATAAAAAGAGCAAGTCTCGTGGGCATCAAGACGTCCATGGGGTTCGTTTCGAAAATTCAAAGCTCAATAGAGGTCCGAGAGCTAGGGATCAACTTCTTTCAGTTTATTTTTTATAATAAAGTGGATCTGAAGAAAGTGGCAGGGGCACTAACTGGATTTTTGAGAATCAGTACTTGGTCTTACAAGATTGGAAGGAGAGTCTCTCTGCAAATTGATAAACTTGGTTTTAACTACCTGAAGTTGCGGGTGCAGTTCATAACATCCCCTGAATTGGACAACCACTAAAGTAGGTCTCAAGCAGAGAGTGTACATATTTGAGACATGACATTAAATTGATAAACTCCAAGTAAGGCGAGGAACCTTCATCGTATAATGTCGGAAGGCTGGAATATTTAAGAGAAGTTGGTTCTTAGCTTATTTCATTTTAATTCCTTAATATTAGATATATGAAATCACTAATGTGTTTTTTTTAATTATGCAGAAAATTAAGAAAAATATCTTCAAGATACTTACCATATGATTTCAATCAAGGATCAGTCGCACTTAACATGTGGAGTGATCTAAAATCGCGTGACAAACATACCGTACTTGGCATCTGCGGAGCAATCAAGGAACTTGCCTTATCAAGAGTGACTTGGCAGCGAAGTAAATCTGGACACAGAATTGAAGGAAATCAAGTGAAGATGGAATGTTTCCAAATGTGAGCATGAAATAAAAACGAGGAGACAATGACTGAGAAGGATGGTTTTTGGTGGTGATTTAATTTTTTAGTAAGGTTGAGGCTGAGAAGAGTGAACTGAGGAGAACGACTCGAGAGATTTCTACATTGAGTCTTTGATTTTAATTTAATTTTGTGAGTAGAGTCGAGAGCTTGTTCTCGATCTCTGTGAGCTTGAGAGTCTATTCATTTGAAAATATTTTTGTAAGTATTCGGGAGGAATTGGATCGAACTCAAGGGATTTGAGTTGTGAGCATCCACAAGGAATTTGTAGTCTGAAGAGTAATTGTAGATGTGATTATACTTAAGGTAGTTGAGAGAGAGTATGCATTGTAAAACCTTGGTGTAACGACCATAACACTTATACTAATGAAAGAGTTTAGGAGGGGAAGTGGGATGCTCCCCTGAAGGTTCATGTTTTGTAGAATCTAGCTTCCTCATGTGTGTGTGAACTTACTTATGAGTTTACTGTTTCTAATATTTAGTGCAATTCTGATATATTCCTAACGATTTCAATTGGCACTAGAGAGGGTTTTCGTATACAAACACGAAGATTCTGAGGATCTGTTAAATGGGCAACCATGAATCATGATGGTGGATCCATGTCTAGACCTTCACAATTGGACGACTCGAACTATTCCTATGGGAAATTAGTGATGGATATCTTCCTGATATCTCTTGGCAAATGAGCTTCGGAAAGTGTGGAAAATGGGTGGACACATCCAGTCACAAGAGAAGCACCTGACCAAGGAAAAGAACCTTCATCTGCAGTGGTAATTAAACCAAGAGATATGTGGATAGATGCCGAAAAAGTACAAGAAGAAGTTTTTTGAGCCTTGTATGCAATTCTAATGGTTGTTGACCAGACACGACACAAGATGATAGTTCAGTGTAAAAAAAAACGAAGGATGCATTGCGGGTATTAGAGCGTCAATTTGAAAGTTCGACAGCAGTGAAGACGTCCAGACTTCAGCGAGTGGCCATAGCATTTGATGAGATTAAAATGAAGGAGGACGAAACTATTGATATGTACTATGCCAGATTTTGTGATCTGTTGAATCAAAGTGAAATGCTTGGATAGGAGATCTCTGTAAATCATCAAGTTCAGAAGATAATGCCGACGACGATGGCTAGGTACACAGAAAAGATGACATCTCTGGAGAGCTCTTAAAGGATCAAGCCAATGGACCTTGATGATCTTCTTGGACATCTTAGAATGTTTGAGAACAATAATGAATACAAAAGGACTTGCTCTTTAAGCGGTCGTGACGTCACAGAAAGAGGAAAGTGATGATGATGAAGGTTCACTTGATGAAGATAGTAAATTAAAGGAAGCCCTGTCGCTGATTGCCAGGAACTATGGAAAAATTTGTCAAAAGTTGTACAAAAGCAGATTTGCTGGAAGAAATTCAACAACAACAAAAACTCATTTCAGGAGAAGCGAACCAATATTTCTTCATCAATGTCAGACACTCAAAAGATAGAGAAGGATCAATGTCGAGAGTGTCGAGGGTATGGACACTTCTACTATGAGTGTGCAAATCTAAAAAAGAAGAATAAGTCTCTAAAGACACTTGGGATGACTCAGATAAGGAAGAGTCAGAAGAACCTTCATCATACACGAGCAACATGGTGATTCACTCCACATTAAGCAAGTTCACGTGTCTAGCAACTTCTCATGCCCCTACAAAATTTGATAAAACGTATGAAAGAGTCTGATGGTTCTGAAGATGAAGCATATCAAAACATTTGTAAGGATCCAGTACATTTGTTGGTCATGGAAAAATGTTCACATGTAGCTGAAGTAATGAAGAAACTTTGCAAGGACATCAAGATGCTTAAAAGTCAGACTCAGTCAAATAATTCGTCCGAAGAAGTAGAAAGACTAAGGAATGAAGTACATAAGTTAATGGAAATCAGTCGTTCGTTGAATGAACAATTGACTTCCTCTCTCAGTCATCAGAAGAGAAGTGAATCAGATGCTGCTAAAGCTCGAACCGCCATTCTTGAAAATGGAGTCAAATTATCCAAACAAGGGTGTATTGAGAGGACTCAGACTATTGAGAGCTTGAGATCTGGATTATTTTCTATTTAAAAAATGCTTTGTGAAAAAGATAGTGAGGACATGTGTAACACCCCTCCTTATTGTAACATCAGAGTAGCACAAATTTCGCAAAGTTATAAAACCTTTTTACTTTGCGAAAACTGATTCGGGGTGCTACCTTTAAAAATCGTGACTTAACTTAGAAAACCGTTATTTTAGTTTCAATGAGATCGTCCGGTTTACTGAAATCATAAGTTTCTCAAAAGTTAATCAAAAGATAAGTTCGTCAAAACGGTTACGTCAAAAGTCATCAAAAACATCATCACAAGACATCAAAGTATCATAAGCGGGCGTAAATCATCATATTTATACAGTCCGAAATATGAATATCCTGAGGTCCCCGTCACGTCACGCTCATGCTCCCGGCCCGACGTCCTGACCTGAAAAACATGATAAAACTGGGGAGTGAGCACTATGGCACTGTGCTCCGTGGAAACTCATACTAATGTAAAACATCGTAAATAATAACAATATCATGAACTAAGCATATATAACTGAACTGAACTGAAACTGACATCTGATACCGGTCTGATCTCGCGACATAAGTCACGTAACTGATAACTGAAATCTGTAAGCACAAACTAATACTGCAATCTCCCGGCACAAACTAATACCAGACCATGTGCACACTCTAGTGGTTAGATTAGGCCACTAGAACCCAGAATGGACTGGCGACCATTCCGAGCGGATACTGAATATACATACCTCGAACATGGTAGCGTAATTATAAACAATGTAGTACTTAGTCTGAGTCCCCACCTGAACTGCTGAACTGAAAGGTAGTGCTGATGCCTGCTCAAACTGAAAATAATATAAACAATTACTATTGACTATGCTCAGACTGTTAACTTAGCTGATTAATTTCGTTAAGATGCTTTATTTAACTTAACATGATATTTAGACTTATTTTTCATAATAATTGGAATTATAATCATATTAGAATATGATTAGAATTATATTGGAATTATAATCATAAATGGTTAAAGCTAATCAGA